ACTAAACTACATACACAGCACACCATCTAAACTAAAGGATAATATATGTCCTACAGCTGTTATCATAATTCAACTACTTTGATTACATATATAAGGTAACATATGATAACAGAATAATATCACAGCCCCTTGTGCCTACTTAGTTTTTTTAAGAAGAAAAAAGAGCGATAAAACAGAAAATTGTAGAAAGCAAAAGTGTTCAATTGTGCCCTGATATAATGGGATATTAGGGGTGATTCTAATCATGGTATAAGGAAACAGCAAAGACATGCAGTTTATTTATTTTAGTTTGAAGGACATAAATTCTAAATTTGTCTCAAAATAACTTCAATTAGAATGAAAATTAGAAAGTGATCATGATAACCTACTAATATGATAATGTGGATGTTTATACAATTATAGTCAGATTGTGTTTCAGACAGCATTTTGTTGATGAGTCATGTAGAAAAAGCAGTGACAAAATGAAAAAAGAAAAACAAAGATGTGTCTTCCAATTAAGACAATTATGGGCTCTCTGGCAAAAAATAATCAGCAACTAATAATTGATACATTCAAGTTACGATTTTAGTGTAATCATTTTCACATGTTGATGAACCTTCACTGTGATAAATCACATAAACTGCAAACAGCTGTGATTTTGTGCTGTTAGAATGAAAAAAAATTCTTGAATGCATTCCACCAGTCTTTTCTCTTTTCTGAATCAACTTCATTCCGAAGTTTCTCTATCAGCTCACTTAATTCTTTTTCATGCTCTTCCTGCAGAGCTTTCTTTTCCTTTTCATCTTTTACATTCTCCATTGTCTTTTCCTGATTTTCCAGTAATTCGCTGATTTCTCTCAGATTGTGTCTTCTTTTTGAGATTTTTTTCACAACATCACTGATTTCTTGGTGCTTTTTGCTTTTCATTGCCTTCAACAGGTCATACTTCTCATCTTTGTCTTTCAGTTGGTTCTCATAATTTTGCTCCATACGACTGTATTTTTCCTTGAATTCATTGAACTCTTCAGCTTTCTTTCTGGCTTCTTCTTCATATTTTTTCTTCAGATTCCCCTCTTCTGTTTTATGTTTGTCCTCCAGGTCTTTTCGTTCGTTCTTCTCCTTTTCTCTCCTGCTCTCATCTTCTTCTTTTCTTTTGTTTTCATAACTTTCTTTTTCCTGTTTGTACTTTTCTTCAAGTTCTTTTGCTTCTTGTCGTCTCTGTTCATCTTCTTGTTCTCGTTTCTCTCTTTCTTCTCTTCGTTCTTTCTCCCAGGCTTCTTGTTTTTCTTGTTGTCTCCTCATCTCTTCTCTGGTCTCTTCCAGCTTTCTCTCCACATTTTTCTTTTCCTCTTTTTCTGTCTGAATTTGTTTGTCTGATTTTTCAAGTTGCATTTTAAAATCCTGCCTACGTCTTTCTTCCTCCTCTTCCCGTTTCCTGTTCTCTTTTTCTCTCATTTCCTGTTCTTTCTTTCTCTCTTCATGCTCCTTATTTAGATATTCCTTCATCTCCTTCAGTTTCTGGTCTCTTTCCTGCTGTATTTTTTCCTTCTCTTCTTTCAGTCGTTTTTCCTCCTCTTGTCGTCTCTGTTTTTCCTCTTGTTCTCGTTTCTCTCTTTCTTCTCTTTGTTCTCTCTCCCACTGCTCCTGTTTCCTTCTTATCTCTCTGCTCTCTTCCAGCTTTCTCTCCACATTTTTCTTTTCCTCTTTTTCGGACTGAATTTGTTTGTCCAACATTTCAAGTTGCATTTTAAACTCCTGCCTACGTCTTTCTTCCTCCTCTTCCCGTTTCCTCTTCTCTTCTTCTCTCATTTCCTGTTCTTTCTTTCTCTCTTCACACTCCTTTTTCATATTATCCTCCATCTCTTTGATTTTCAGCTCTGCTTCCTGCTGCATTTTTTCTTTCTCTTCTTTCAGTCGTTTTCCCTCCTCCTGTCGTCTCTGTTTTTCCTCTTGTCTTCGTTTCTCTCTTTCTTCTCTTCGTTCTTTCTCCCAGGCTTCTTGTTTTCTTTTCATCTCTTCTCTGCTCTCGTCCAGCTTTTTGTCAATCCTTTTCTTTTCTTCTTTTTCTGACTGAATTTGTTTGTCCAATATTTCAAGCTGCCTTTTAAAATCCTGCCTACGTTTTTCTTTCTCCTCTTCCCGTTTCCTGTTCTCTTTTTCTCTCACTTCCTGTTCTTTCTTCCTCTCTTCACGCTCCTTATTTAGATATTCCTCCATCTCCTTGAGTTTCTGGTCTCTTTCCTGCTGAAGTTTTTTCTTCTCTTCTTCCATTCTTTTTGTCATTGCTTTCATTTCTTCCTCATGTTTTCTTTCTAGCTCCTCTCTCTCTCTCTTCATCTCTTCTTCCTTCTCCTTCAGGATTCTCTTCATTTCCTTCTTTATCGCTGCTTCAGCTTCTTCCAGCATCTCATTGGTGAAGCAGTTTCCTCCATTTTCCTTCATCATGGTGTCAATATTTGTCATCAGCTCAGTCACTTGTTGGCGGTTCTCTTTGTCTTCATTATTGAACACATGGTATCTTCCTCCACAGTCAGCAATCAGCTTCTTAAAGGAATCATCACATCCACTTTCAATATAATGTTTAATAGACATTTTTTTAAGCTTATCTCCTTCAGTGAAAAGAATGATGGTGAACTTTTCTGAATTCGGCCCAAAACCTTCCTTTATGAGTTTTAATGTCTCCTTCTCCTCTGGTGTGAGACGACCAATTTTTAACACCAGCAGGAAGACATGTGGTCCTGGAGCCAGAAGACTGACACATTTCACCATCTCCTCATGAACTTCTTCGTGTGACAGAGTTGTGTCAAACAGACCAGGAGTGTCGACCACAACAACAGGACGACCGTCCACCTCACTCTGTGCTTTCTGACACTGTTTGGTGACTGATATTTGACTTGGCATTTCTGTAAACACTTCCTTTCCTAGGATGGTGTTTCCTGATGAGCTCTTTCCATTGCCGGTCTTTCCTATCAGCACAATCCTGAGAGGCTCCGTGTTCTGCTTCTCTTCATCACCTGTAAACACATGATTTTCTTAAAATGTGAACAGTTTATAAAGTAGATGTAAGAATATAATGTCGAACATGATTAATGATTAAAAAAACATTAAATTACTTACGAGTGACCATATTTTTAGGTATCAGATCAATCTGGGCTCGAGCAAATGTTACAGCTGTGTAGCAGCATGGTTTGTTTGTACATCTCATCTGCTCCACAGTGTCCAACAACTTGTGGATCTGCTCTTTATCCTTGATGTTAACAATAACAGGCCTTTGTCCATAACGTTGACAGACCTCCTGGATATTTGGGTCTTTGCTTACAAAGTTACCAACAGGTGGATCTGTAGGATCTGAGTCCACAGTGAACAGAATCATGGTGAAGTCATTGACTCGAGAGCTGAATGTGTTCTGGATGGTCTTTAATTCTCCCTTGTCTTCATCAGTGAGGGGAGCCACAGGTAGGACCAGGATGAAGGCATGGACACCCTCAGGATCACAGAGGGAGATACACCTGAGTGATTCCTCCATCACTGCTTCCTGAGGTTTTCCATACAAGGCAGGCAGCTCCACCAGGGAAACCCAACGTCCACACACCTCTCCCTGATGTTTAACACACTCTGATGAGTTGGAGGCTGAATGAAGCTCAGTCTGACCTAAAATGGCCTTGGCTGCTGACGTCTTCCCTGCTCCTCTCCTCCCACACAGAACCAGGTTTAAAGATGGTTTGATGCTGTGATTGCATTGATTTGTCATTTCCTGAATCTTCTGCATTAACGATCCATAGTTATCTTCAGACATGTTGTAGTACCTTCCTCCACATTCTCTGAGGACTTCATTCACAGAGGAACTCATTTCATTCTCATGTGTGATGACGACCATCGAGTGTTTAAAGGCATTGTGACCAAACAGGCTCAGGATGAACTTCAGAGTTTTTCTCTTCTCCTCACTGAGTTTTGATGGTTTCACCAACAGCAGCAGAACATTTGGTCCAGGATGACAGAGACTCACACAGCTGTTCACTTCTCTTCTCATGTCCTCCTCAGACAGACTGAACATGTCTGGAGTTTTGACCACTGTCAGTAGTTTTCCTCTCCACTCTCCACAGGAGGCCACACAGTGCGTGATGGGTGATTGTTTTTGGCAGTGAAATCCTTGGTACCCAATGATGAAGTTACCAAGTTTTGTCTTCTTATCTTCACTTTTGCCCAGCAGCACAATCCTGAATGCAGACACTGATACAACAGAGAGAAATGCAATGTTACAAGCACATGGTTAAATCAGGTGTGATGTATTTGTACCTTCACACACACACACACTACAGAAAATATTGTCTACCCTTTCAATTTGTTCAGTTTTGGTACAGTCGTTATAATAATGAGAAACTGATGACAAACAAAGCGAATTTTAGGCTTATCTGTTTGTGGCTTCTTATTTGGTCATTGCAGTATGTATAACCTTCTGTTCCTATTGCTAACCACACTGATTTTTTTGCATAGTTTAACCTGTGTAGCTTGTGTAATTATTGTGTAATCTAAAATCAGGCAGAGAAGAAGCCTGTCTAATCTCTAAAGGCAGATCGTTCCACAGTCTTGCGTAGCTATTAGCTTAGCTCTTCATCTTTGTCATCTGCCCCTCCGGCACTTTTCTGGTCATTGTGTCACATGTTTTGCTCCTCTTCAGCCTCCTTAAATAATAACTATACTTTTAATAAATGCAGCCTGTTAGCAGCTTATGAGAGAGAGAGGTAAGTAAATATGAGTGTCAGTTTTATGCGCTGTGTCTGCTCAAAGCTGAATCCTACTTGGTTCAATCAGCTGGCTTTTGACAGTTTCGAGGGCATGGTCCAAAAGAATAGAAGACCTAATGCAATTGGTCAATTATATGGACAATTCAGATTCCTGCCTTAAACAGAGTTACAGATTAAAGTAGCCCTCATGTTGCTGCCACAGCATATTTGTTTACAATTTGGAAAATAAAGTTTGCCAAATTATTTATCAGGAGTTATTGTTTGCTGTGTAACTGTGGAAATACTGACAACTGTCACTGGATTACTTTACTGCTGAAAAAAATCTTTGAAACTGGAGGATTCAAAAAAAGGTTCTGAAGGTCATGTACTACTGTCCAATTAATCTGTTATACAATACCACATACCCATTTTAATTTTAGAAATAATGAGCAACACGCACCATTATTGAAAAAAAAAAACCAACTGTATTTTTCGGACCATAAGGTGCACCGGATTAAGCATTAAGCGAAACAAAACAGTCAGATAAGTCAAACTTATCTGGACTTTACTTTGCGTCCACTTCTCTACCATTGATTCATTAATGTTGAATTCTCTGCAGCTGCTCTATTCTCACGTTGTTGCAGTATATTAATAACTAACCTCATATTGTGGATGAATTATCTCAGTTTGATTTGATTTGATATACCTTTATTAGTCCCACAAGGGGAAATTTCATAAGGCTGCCGACCTATTGCACGCAATGGCGGTGCCATCTTACCCTCCGACCATACATACATTACACAAACATCACATGGGGAAGACAGGTCAGAGAGGTATAACAATGGAAAATGCACCACATGAGGAAAGATGAGGAGAAAAAATAACTCCCCCCAGACTGAGCTCCAACAGGGAGATCAGTTTGAGAACAGAAAAAACACCTCTGCACATGAAAAAACTCTTAATACACCAAAGAAACACATGACAAGCAAAAGGGGGGGTAAATGGTGCAGCATCATAAGGGAATAAGCGTCGAAGGCGTTTGGAAAGGGAGGGGGGATGAGTGTGTGCATATCAGTGTGTGTGTGTGTGTGTCCAGAGTTCAGCTGAGACAGTGTCTTTCGCCCTGCTAGGCTCAGTAAACAGTCTTCCAGCCAACCCAGGTGGCCTTGCATCGAATGGGAAGGAACAGACTCAACACAGTCGTTATCAGGGTGTTCTCCTGACTGAAGTTTGGTCCGTTCACAGCATCCTGCTATGCGATTGCATTTGTCTCTAACCATCAGGAACCTTCACATTAACTTTTATCGAGCGGAAGAAAAGTTAGCGTTCATCCTCCAGCTTTACTGTGTTTATGCTATGCTAACATAGCTGTTTCGCTAGCGATCACGTAGCACATCATTATATAAGTAAGTAAAGTTTATTTATTAAGCGCTTTTCATAGACAGTCACAAAGCGCTGCACACGGAGATTAAAATAAACAGTACGATAAATAGCAAAATGCACAATATACACAATATGGAGTTTAAATGTAAATTAAAATATAAGAATGTAAAAAACATTGGTCAACAGAAAGCTTGTTTAAACAGTAAAGTTTTTAACTGTTTTTTAAAGGATTCCACAGAGTCAGCCAAACGTAGTTGTAGAGGTAGACTGTTCCACAGCCTTGGTGCCACAGACTGAAAGGCTCCGCCCCCTTTCATCTTCAGTCGTGTTCGGGGAGCAACCAACAAACTCTGAGTCTGTGAGCGGAGACGGCGAGCAGCAGTGTATTTTGTGAGAAGCTTGGATAAATAATCTGGGGCCATTTAGTGCTCTGTACGTTAAAACAATAATTTTAAAACGAATTCTAAAATCTATTGTGAGCCAATGTAAAGAACATAAAATAGGAGTGATGTGAGCTCGCTGGGTAGAGCGAGTTAGTAGCCTGGCTGCTGCATTTTGTATAGCTTGGAGGCGAGAAAGAGATGATTTATCCAAGCTGGTAAACAGGGAATTACAATAATCTAAATGCGATGACACAAATGCATGGACAATTTTTTCCAGTTCAGCTGAGGAGGCCATATAAGATAAGATAAAACTTTATTAATCCCTCGGGTGGGTTCCTCTGGGAAATTCGGTAAGTCGCAGTTTAGACATATTCCTTAAATGAAAGAAACAGGAACGAGACAGAGATTTTACGTGTGAGTCAAGGCCCAAAGAAGAGTCAAATATTACTCCAAGATTTCGAATATTTGGCTCAGCAGAAGAACAGAAAGGGGCAAGAACCGGACTGATTTTAGAATATAGATCAGGAGGAGCTATGATCATGGTCTCTATATATAGCAGCTAGCCCAACTTCAGTAACCCTACAAACGTGTCAATGGAAAATTGTATTTAGTAGTCAGTATAATCTTTTAGTGATATAAGTTTGCTTATGGTAGGATGCTGTTTGTAGTTATTTGGTAGTGACAGGATGTGTGATTTTTAGCAGGCTTGGTTCACCCCCACATCCTGGGAGCATGGGAGAGGTCGTACCTTGTTTTATTGTTTTAACGTAGCTATGTCTGTTTTAGTCTAAGTGCTTTAACTGCTGGACTTCCTCACCGTGCCATCTAGGGTGGGGGAGACTACCCTCTTTATGACCAAGGATGTACCTTTTGTGCTTTCATGTTATATGACCCTTTGATCAGCAGGAGACACACACACACACACACCCCTACTGAAGTATAAATAAAGATTGGGGCAGTTTCTTAGTGCGAGTCTCTGAGACTGCCCTTGCTAGCAAGAACTCTGTGTGTTTCTCTTCTCTGAGTCTTTACTGAAGAAGTGTTTTAGAATATTTTCCCTAACAAAACATCACTGCTGTTTAGTTTCCTGTCTTCATTTATGTTGGAAGTGATAGCAGAGCTGTACGTCTGAATTCTTTCATTAATCTCTCAGTCAGAACATGCTATATCATGTTTAGGTGGAAGCTAGCGAGCTAACTTCCTGCTAACTTCCTGCTAACTTCTAACTCCGTTAAATGTAATAAATCCTGTTTTCATGGATGCCTGGATGTTAAACTTCATAGTTACACCTGGTAAAGCAGCAACGCTGATCATTTTATTAAAGATGAAAGAATTTAGACAGTTTAACTCTCAGTCATGCCGCAGTGTTCGTTTGACTGAGTAAATTTAATTTTACAAATAATGAACAAATATAAAGCATGCTTATGTTGCTGCCAGTAAGTGTGCATCACTCAGTAAAATACAGCTGTACATATCTGACTGCAGAGCTCCACTCACTGTGGGTTCAGGCTCCACTGTTATAGTTCATTCAGATAATATTACAGGTTCTCTGAGCAGACCGTCTGTGTAGTGGACAGGATATGTGGATATGGCTGTCTTTGGTAAGTAGCTCATCTGTCTGAACTAGTGTCTGATAAACAGTTCAGGTTGTTGTCATCATTTTGTGTAAATCTATTTATAGCTGCTGCGTGCTTACAGAAATGGAAAAAGTATTGAACACACATCATTTAACACTGAATTCAGTGTTAAATGATGTGTGTTGTTGGTGATGACAGCTTGTTTTCTTTTAAAAAATTGTACCTGTTGATTCCGGGTCTTTCTGTAGCAAGGGGTCGCTGGCTCCTGGACAACTCCTCATATAATTCTTTTCCCTCTGTCCGAAATCTTGTGCGGATGTTGATGATGATGTTCTTTCCACTTGCAGGCCCAAATGGTGCTGGCTGGAACCTTCAGAAGTTTAGAAAATCTTCTGTAACCAGTGCCATCAGTATGTTTTGCAAGAATAAAGTTTTGGTCTTGACAGAGCTCATTGGTTTTACCCATTATGAGGCGTTTCTTGTGTGACACCTTGGTGATGACACACCTTTTTACAGGTCATCATTTGGTCAGATAATATTAAGTGGCCAGAGTGCTTCCTAATTACTGATAGATTTCAGCTGTTGTCTTGACTTCCACTGCCCTTTTGCACCTCCCTGTCTTGCACATTTCCTTCGTGTCATTTCATAATATTACATATACATTAATTTATAGACATCTATGTTTTGATTTCTTTGCGTGTGTGAATTGGAAACACATTCTCATCCCAACATGTAACATACCAATGCTATGTGACCAATCATCTGTATATTTTGCGTTTGGAGGCATGAGAGCCAGCTGGAATTAATCTATACATGTAAATGTGTTTCACGTCCTGATCATGAATCACTCTGAAAAACACTATGTGATAGGGTTAAGGTTATGGTTGGGGCTGGAATGGATGGCTGGAGCCTCGGCTCTAAGCGTGTCTTGACAGTCCGGAGCGTCTCAGGCCCTGATAAATCGTCAGTATGTTATGTGTTGGGAATGACAATGCTCTTGAATTGGATGGGTTCCTGCCAATTCGGTGTACATAGCACCTTTAGAAATGTATTTACTAAGAAATGTGGTGACATGTTCAATGCTTATTTTACCTGCTGTATATGTATATATCATCTCAGTTGCATTTACTTACTCTGATGAGAGGAGATTTTCCCGAAGAGAGGGAATCTTGAAGCCAGTCCATGAGTCCCTGTGAAAGTAATTTACAGCTCATTATTTCTGTTCAATAAAAGGTGATCTTGAGTGAAGATTTTTTTTTCTTTATCCACTTACAAGTTTTTTTAAGATTTCCTGGCAAAGTCTGTGTTGTTTCTTGAAATGGTTCATGGATAACATGCTCTCCATTGTGCTCCTTTACAATTTGACCCAGACGTGTTAATAGCTCTCTACTCCCAAGGTTGCTCTGCCATAAGTATCTATACCTACATTTCTTGATCAGGCTTTTTATTGGTTCAGTTTGCATACAACTGTCCACCCAGGTTGAGCTTTCCTCTTTTGGTGTTAATATGACTATCAATGAATGATCAAATGATCGTTCGCTGTAGTTTTCAAGGACTTTGCAGAGTATCTGTTTTTGTTGTTCATTGAAGTCTTCAGGTTGTAGAACTAACAGGAACACATGAGGTCCAGGATCTGAGTTTTTTGCACAGTTTTGTACAAATGCTGTCAGTTGGTCCATTTTAGGAAAGACCAGATCTGTAGTGTTGATAACACCAATTTTCTTGCCTTCCACTGTTCCACTCATTCCGAGATGGTAATAGTCAGATTGACTTAACACATCCTCGCCCAGTATTAAGTCTCCCAGTGATTTTCTGTCACGCCATCTGCCCCCCAGCAGAATAACCCTCAGCTCAGACACTGAAATGGCAAAATAAAACACATGTCAATTTATATGCTGTACATGTAATTGAGGAAAGTGACCACAGATGAGATATTATTGATTATTAAACATTAGATAATGCACAATCTGGGCGTTGGACTGAGATTTTTAGCTTTGTATTTTTCTTACTACAAAAGGCAATCCACCCCCAGACCCAGGAGATGGTTCCCTTTACTCTAGGGTGGAAACAAGCAGACCGCCCCTGGTCCTGCAGCAGCAGGGAAGCCCAACAAACAGATGGCCAGCTCCTCCTCCTGGCCCCCAGTCCCAGATGGTGAACAGAGACCAGCGGTGTGAAGACCCCATATCTAACTCTGCTCGCTCATATGTGGTGTTGCTGCGTGCTGTTCTAAAGTGCATTTAAAACTTGGGAGGGGCATAGTACCAACGACTCTCTGCCAGACAGCAGCTGTGTCAGCACGGCCCCTCCCGAGAACCTCAATGTCTACATGTACTTATATTGAGACGTGGGCCCCGGCACCAGAGGTGAGGCTGAGTAAACCGAAAATATAAAAATAAAATACATAAAGTTCTCTTGCTGCATAACTACAGTATGTTCAACATTCTAAACTCAGTTCTTACTGTGTGGTGGCAGGAATTCATAGCTCGAACTGCGCGTCAGCGGCTGCACATCTGTGCCTGAAAGAAATACAGACACCATTTTAGTCACATTATCCTGTATTTTTCCAGCCTTATTGAGATTAACATGTCTTTTTAAGAGAGACCTGCAGACATGCAAGTGAACACAAACATCCAAATCATGTGCAATAACAGATGACTGCAAGAGTGACAGAGCAGTCACACAGACCAAAAGAGTTATTCTCTTGTTCCTTTAAAACGCACATTTTTCTATTATAACCAGTTCTGATAATTTCAGCTCCTTCTGCAGGTCTTTAGTACTCTTTGGGGGCTAACAGCTGAGGTGTGATTGATTGATTGATAATACTTTATTCATCCCGAGGGAAATTGGGTTAAGTCTGCCAGCCGTGCCAGCACCATCTTACCCTCCGACCATACATACATTACACAAAAATCACATGGGGAAGACAGGTCAGAGAGGTATAACATGGAAAATGCACAACATGAGGAACGATAAGGAGAAAAAAAAGAACTCCCCCCAGACTGAGCTCCAACAGAGAGATCAGTTTGAGAACAGAAAAAAAACACCTCTGCACATGAATCATCATATCTCACAACACAGAAGACATGAGCTTCGAAGGCGTTTGGGGGGGTGAGTGTACATGTGTATGTGTGCGTGTGTGTGTTTCATGTCAACCGAGAGAAAGTGTCCCGTCACCCGGTTAAGCAAAAGTCAACAATCTTCGATCAACGCGGATGGTCTTGAAGGAGGAACAAAGAGTTCGACAACAATCCTGTTATCATGGAGAATGTTTGTTGTTCCAGTCAGCTTCCACCTTGGCAGCCTTCAGCTGGTGCCTTTGGGATAGCTGCATGAGTGAAGATGAATGATTTGGGTTTAGTGCGAACAACTGCATCCAATTTTTACAGCTGCTCTAATGTCCGTCACTGGTCACCAGGTCTCTCAATTCCCATTGTTCTTCCCTAATTCCATATTGCGTTCAAAACACAGTCTGAGTACTCACAGCCCTGCCCATGGTCCATCATGTCGGCCAGCCTTATGGGATTTTGAACAGCTGTAGCTGCTTCTTGTACTTCGATAAGCCGGGACCGAGCCAACTCCAGTCAGCCAGAACTCTGTTATCGTGGTTCCAAATTGATAGATGTCCTCCAATGTCCTCCATTGAGAGTGTTGCCAGACACACGACGCAACCGACCATCGAGTATCCGGCAGCAAACGTCTCCACAGGACAATTGGGCTCTCCCAAGCCCAGCAGGGTGTCAATTCTGTTACAGGACCAGTTGATCAAATCCATAATTCTTTAGGTTTCAGAGAACAAGTCTGAGAAACTCTTTGAGGGTTAGAGATAAGCAAGTCTATACAAAAGACATAAGAAGCCAAGCAGGAAAGATAAGGGAGAGGAAGAAAAGTGCGACCGCCTCCGTCCTGGGCCTTCCTGTGTTTTCTACTGGCTCCCAGGGGTGTTGTTGCGGCTTTTCAGTCTTTATCAAGTATGTTTCATGACACACATACGCACAGCAACAATCTATGTTTGTCTTTTCTCTTACTTACTTTATTTTATTACAGATGCAACAGTTGGAGACCAATTGTGCTCATCCTTTATTTTAAATTGCTTTTCCATCTCCTTTCTTATCTCTGCTGGTCAACTCTCACTTTGCTACACAATGGGCTCAGGGGATTGGGCAGCTCATCTGCAACCGGAAGGTCGCCGGTTCGATCCCCCTGCTCTCTCTGTCCTGGTCGTTGTGTCCTTGGGCAAGACACTTCACCTACCGCCTACTGGTGATGGCCAGAGGGGCCGATGGCGCGATATGGCAGCCTCGCTTCTGTCAGTCTGCCCCAGGGCAGCTGTGGCTACAACTGTAGCTGCCTCCACCAGTGTGTGAATGTGTGTGTGAATGGGTGGATGACTGGATATGTAAAGCGCTTTGGGTGCCTTAGGGACTAGAAAAGCTCTATATAAATACAGGCCATTTACCATGGAAAAGTGCTATATAAATGCAATCCATTATTATTATTATCATTTTTATAATAATAATAATAATAATAATAATAATAATAAATACTCAATGTGAAAAATAAAAAACAAAAAACCCGACATAAACAAATGTGTTTGACACAACAGGGAACACAGATTACGATTCCGCTTCAAAAAGCTGAAATGAACAAAAAGAGAAATGACACTTTAAAAAAGTTATGATTGCTTTTGCAGGCTAGTAAATATTGCAAGTGTGATTTTATTTACACAATGAATGCAGTGCATTACATTGCAAAGGACTTTACAAGCAACCTGTCCTCTATGTGTGCCTTCTTCCTGTTTTGTACATATTTCTGTAGTTTGTATATCATCTGTTATTTCCTCTTGCTGTCCTATTTAAATTTTTAATTCCATACACAGTTTGTGTGGAGCACAATTTGCAATGACAATACAACGCTATTCTAATCTATTCACCACCAGAATGAGAAAAAAAAAGATCTAGATGATTACAGCCTCCTTTAACTCACCAGGTGTTGCAGTTTCCATAATATCAACTGTCACATCAGAGTAATTCAACTGAAGAACAGCTGCTTCTAACACCTAGATGAAGAATGCAGATTTAGGTGAGACAAAAACATCATCAGTCAGGTTTATAAAAACTACATTTTTTGTCAAAGCAAAACAACACAAAAGTGAGTTACCGATTGACAGATTATTTAAACACAGTTGCAAAAGCTTCAGCTTGGATTACTGCAACTAAAATATTTCCAGCACACAGACACATACAAACAGTCTTACATTCATTCTAATACGCACTCATTAGATGAAAATTTACAGCCAAAAAGAATGGGAGAGAGATTACGAGAAAGCTCATTTTTAAAAATGACTTTGCTATAGTTATTTTAACAAACAAAGATTCAGCCAATCTGAGGAAGGCTGTTCCAGACTTTAGGTGCTATAATCAAACGTGGGAAGCACCAAATGCTTTGTTGCTGTACTTCAGTAGAATTTTCAGGTATTTGTACTCTACTCGAGTATTTTTTTCTGAAAACAAGTACAGAGTGTCCTGTGCAGCGTGCTCCGGGAGTTTGGGGTGTCTGGCCCATTGCTTACCAATCAATCCTTATAGGACAGTTGCAAGCGCTTGGTCCGCAGAGCCAGCAATAATTCGAACTTGTTCACAATGGATGTTGGACTCTGCAGGGCTGGAATTTGTCACAGATTCTCTGTATAATTCTTATGAACAGAATTTCTAAGCGTAGCCTCGAAGGCCTCCGATTTGGTGGTTTCAGAATCTCGTCTCTAGTCAGATGATGTGTTTCTGTTGGCTTCATCGGGTGAGGAGGAGGTGGAGGAGTTTAAGTATTTCAGGGTCTAGTTCACAAGTGATGGGAGGAGGGAGCGGGAGATCGACACACTGACTGGTGCTGCAGCTGCAGTGATGCAGATACTGCACTGCTCCATTGTGGTAAAAAGAGAGCAAAGCTCTCAGTTTACCTACCGGCTGATCTACATCCCTACCCTCACCTGTGGTTAAAAATCAAAGAAAGATCGCGGACACAAGCAGCAGAAATGAGATTTTGGGTCCAGTCTGCTCCATACAGCTCAGGCCGTAACAGAAACATAAAAACAAAAATATCTTCTATGATCTCATAAAACCAGAGACAGAAATAAAACAGGCTGCTGTCTTTCATTGTTTGTTCTACAACGCTTTCAATATGTCATCTTCTTTATGTTTTTATGGCATTTAGAATACGTCATGAACATCTCCAAAAGTTGATTCTGTTCATCTGGACGTAGCGTTTTGTGGTAGAAACACTAATCCAGGTGACTTCTTCAGTCTCAGCTGACTGCAGGTTTCAACCTTATAAACAGTACATTTGCATAATGACTGAAACCAGCCCACTGAAGGAACAATGGGCTGGGAGGGCAGTTTCTTAATCTTAATTATGCAAATTCTCATGACCACTGATCAAAAATCATGAACATTTTACTTTCATGACGCTGGCCTCACTGTGGCACAGGCAGTCAGTTTTCAGGCTTCACCACTAGGTGGGGCTCTTTACTATAATTTTTTGGTACCACTGACTTAAACACAGTTCACAGCAATGTTGGTAAAACCAGAAGATTAATGATAATAAAAACAACAACAATGAAGATGTGAAAGGGGGACCTGATTTACACCAACCTAAAGGGCAGTACAATAGTCAGGTTGTGATTAAAAACATGAGTTAAAAAAAAAAAAAAAAGTAAAATATAATAAGTTTGTTGGTTCAGGCACGAGTTCCTGCCCCATGTGGAGGAGTTTAAGTATCTCGTGGTCTTGTTTACGAGTGATGGGAGAAGGGAGCCGGAGATCAACAGATGGGCTCCGGACGCTGCACCGGTCCGTTGTGGTGAAGAGAGAGCTGAGTGTAAAAGCGAAGCTTTCAATTTACCGGCCGATCTACGTCCCTACCCTCACCTATGGCCACGAGCTGTGGGTAGTGACCGAAAGAACGAGATCGCAGATACAAGTGGTGGAAATGAGCTTCCTCCGAAGGGTGGCTGGCCTCTCCCTTAGAGATAGGGTGAGAAGTTCGGCCATCCGGGAGGGGCTCAGAGTAGAGCAGCTGCTGCTCCACATCGAAAGGAGCCAGCTGAGGTGGTTTGGGCATCTGACAAGGATGCCTCCTGGGCGCCTCCTGGGTGAGGTGTTCCGGGCATGTCCCACCGGGAGGAGGCCCCGGGGCAGACCCAGGACACGCTGGAGAGATTATATCTCTCGGCTGGCCTGGGAACGCCTTGGTGTTCCCCCGGATAAGCTGGAGGAGGTGGCTGGGGAGAGGGAGGTCTGGGCCTCTTTGCTTAGGCTGCTGCCCCCGCGACCCGGCCTTGGATAAAGCGGATGAAGATGGATGGATAAACAATCGATGTTGAGCAGCGTTAACATATATACAGCTAACAGATATACAGATATAACAGATCTGTACAGAATAATGCAGTAAAATTATGCCAAGACCATATTTATATACATTTTTGACAGTGCTAGAAGTTATCTGTATAATATAAGTCATCATAAATCCATGCAAACTGGCATTCCTTTAATCAATATTGGATAATATTACTTTAAAACATATAAAGCACTATTTTATATAAGATGTATTTACATTAGATTTTACATTTAATTCTGGTCAAATATCCCAATTTTCTACCATGTCATTACCTTAAACAAACAATTCTGTTATAACTGCTCTCCTTGCTGTAAAACATCTCAAGTATGCTACAATCTTGTCTTCTAGCTGTAACTATAGTTAATTTATTTATATTAATTTTTAACAAATATCTTACAAATAAAACTGAGTATGCTTTAAATGACGTTTTTCTCAAATCGGCGCAGCAGAAGGAAAGGACTGTAGTTCCACAAACATTCTCTCAAATAAAGTTTTGTCCGTCAGAATATCTGTACAAATGAAGTCACTCTACTTTTCCAGAAAGAGCGTCTTAATTAACATGGACAGAGTAAGTATAGTCATCTACCTTCTGTTTGCTTTGAGTAACTGAGTGTTACAACTGCCTGCTGCTCCACCCCCACCCCCCCTTACTTTTGAAATGTCTTCTCTGCACTCTGCTAACGCCAAATCGGGTGTGGTCACCGACTACAAACAGGAACAGACGCTTTTTCGTACAAATGAATAGGCCTAAATAAATCTCTGAAACAAAAGACCTAATAAATAATTTCTGAATTCTATACGCAGCTAGGTAGATCTTTACAAGCCTTTACTGAGTATCTCTTGTTAAAAGCGTAAATTTACCAGCAGCTTTGTTTTACGTAAGCTCTTCTTCCTGTTTTGCCAAACCCGAATCTGAAATGGCGGAAATCAATCTTTTTACTCAAACTTTACAATTTCAGATCTGATCCTTCAAAATGCTGTCAGTGTCACAGTGTCACCTTAAATGTACTCAATTTAAACACGAAATGAACATTAGATCACACATTAAACCGCAGACATCGCGTCTGTTTGAGAAGTGATGTCCTTGTTTCCTTTTAAACACTTTTTGAAGTAAAAATACTTTTTAATTTCACTAATGTATCTGAAATCGCGTCAGTTTTTACGTGATATGACAGTTTGTGTAGAGTCGAAGTGAGTTTCAGCTCAGTCAGAGTCGTTACTGTGACAAATAAGAAACTTTCGATTTAATCTGAGCAGACTCGAGCTGTACAATCAGTGATGGATTTTCAGTTAGTGAGGTCAATAAAGAAGCTTGTGTGGTTCAATGATCGGTTTATCCGCTATCAGCATGTTTCTCCCTTTGTTTTTATTTTTATATTTTAATGTTATGTTGAGTTACTCACCTTGAGTGTTCGCCACTAACCTTCTCCGCAAGAAAAGTTAAAGTACTCAACAAGATTAACGCTTGACAAGTACGAGCTTGCGCTGCAATCATGCTTTTTTGTTTTTTTACCGTAACTGGTAAAGCAGCAAATAAACACTGAACATTTCAACTGTGACATTTGTGAGGTTGATTTAAACCCGTCAGTCTTGTTACCTGCACGAGACGACCGCGAAAATGGCAAAACAAATTTACGTCACCACACGATGCTGTTTACAGGACAAGTCGGCGATCTGGAGAATCTCGTTATCGTTCCTCGCTTTTTATTACTCCGATTTCAGCTTTTTCGCCCCACAACCAGAGCGTGCAGTTTACTTTGTGTGCATTCAAATGGAGTCGAGTCAACTAGCGCCCCCTGTGGCTAAGTGCCATAGCCAGATTATTCCTCATTCATCTCCAAGAATGAGGGGACACTGTCCGTGACTTGGAGAGCCCAGCTGGTGCTCCGTATGCAAGGAGAACTATCCTGGATCCAGGTGCGGATCTAGAGAAATTTTCTTAGGGTGGGATGGAAATCAAAGGGGCTGTCAAAATGAAAGCCTTTTAGCCTTTTCTTATTATAAAAAAATTACAAATAAAACTGTTTACAGATGTTATATACAATAACTATCAAAACCTATTCACATTTAATTTGACTTTCACAGAAATCCCACCTCTCCTTGTGGCTACAGAGTACTTGCTTACCAAGGTTAGCACCTTGGTAACATTCACTAATTACAATGTTCCACATTTCCTCGCCTTTTAAGTCATTTTTAGTCTTTTTAGAGTTTTTTTGGTTGTTTAGCAGTAATGTTTCTGCCTATTTACTTCAGCCCATGAAATCGAATGCAGATCTTCCTGATGTGAGATTTACATAAATCTAAGTAATTTTGTTTGTCGTTATCATTAAT